CAGCTCTGCTTTTCAGTTTACCATATGGTAATTGTAGCATTTTTCTTTGCAAGACTTGTTCTCTTGTCCTAGCCCTGGGGAAGGTAGTACCATTAACATCATTTGTAGCACTTCATAGTATTTGGGCTTCCTTTTGTGTGTACTTTAAGTACTGTTCTACTGTTAGATTCCTGGAGGGCTCAGCTTAGAAGCAGAGAGGATCCAAATGCCATAGAATGCCAGACTCTGCACAGGAGCTTTCAAGAGGGATAGATGGTCTTCTGAAGGTGGTTACACTGAGAGAGGACTCACTGTCCTGGCTCTGAAACAGGAGTGGTGGAGCTGCTACATCGCTCACAGGTAAAGTAAGTACTGTTCTACTGTTAGATTCCTGGAGGGCTCAGCTTAGAAGCAGAGAGGATCCAAATGCCATAGAATGCCAGACTCTGCACAGGAGCTTTCAAGAGGGATAGATGGTCTTCTGAAGGTGGTTACACTGAGAGAGGACTCACTGTCCTGGCTCTGAAACAGGAGTGGTGGAGCTGCTACATCGCTCACAGGTAAAGGATTTGCCATTTTCCCCATTCTCTTCCTTTTTTTTTTTTTTTTTTCTAAATATGACCAGGTCCATCATGTCTTTAAAAGTTGCACATATGTAAACATCTCTCTTCCTCAGACCCCTACTGTTTGCTTAGTACTCCCTTGTTTCCTCCACAGCCAGCTTTCTAGAATTCAGCTCCCCTCTCTTCCCTTCAGCTTGCTTTGCTCCTTTGGCTCCACTACTTTGCTCCTTTGGCTCCACTACTCCTGAGGCTGTTTTTTAAAGTCATCCAGAATCATCTTATCGCTGGCTCTAGGGACTTCTACTTATTTTCACCTTTTTGGGTGGAGCAAACAGAACGAACATAGATTTATTAAGAAAAAGTGAGAAAGAACACTCAAGAATGGGAGGGGCTCCCTGTTCTCACTTCTTATCTGGCTGACCTCTGACCTGGGTGTCATTGTTTTTCTCTAGAAATGATCTTTGAGGCCCATGAGTTCATATCTTTGGACTTTTTTCATTCATGTGCTGCTCCTCTTCTGCCCATCTCCTAATCAGTGGTGGTCATCAGCATTCTCTTCTGTGCTCCCTTCTCTGTGTGCTGCTAAGGATTTATCAAGACTGTTTCTTCTCTAGACCTCTGGCTCAGAAGATCTTTTGATCAGTACCTCCACCTATCTGTTGGGCATCTCAGAGGCCTATGGGGAGCCACCCTCAGCTCTCACAGTACAGTGAATGGCACAATGGAAGAGCTGCCCAAGTCAGAAACTGGTAGATCATTTTTTCTTCCTATGTTCTTTCATTCACCTGAATCCCATCAACACATAAGAATTTCCTATTTTATAGCTTCCCCTGTTTGGCAGTCATTTCTCAGTAAGGATAGTGCAGCAATGTAGCTGGTTCCCTCCCTTGCCTTCAATTTCCTGCCTTGCTGTCAGTTAGTTTGATTTCTGTATTATAAAAGGAAACCCCTAAAATACCAAATCATGTCATGCAGTTCTCAGCTTAGGTCTTTCAGTAGTTTCCCATTTTTCAAGATCAAGTCCAGACTCTTTACCGTAATGTGACCTCTGCTGATATTGGGAGCCATGTTTCTCATTACTTTTTCTACTCTAAATCTCACCAAACTTTTAGACCCTAATGGCGACAAAATGTTCCTTGTGGTATTTCCCCTCACTTGTACCCACTCTTCTGTGTGAACTCCATTTCCCTGTCAATCTTGAGCCTGAAGAATATACCTTTTTTGTGTTTCCACACATTACCTCTAGCCCAGGCTGACTTCCCATGTGCTAGGATTACAGATGAGTGCCCCACCATGTGTTCCTTCCACACTGTCTTTATCTCCCTCACAGAACAATATTTTGAGCTATGGTTCAATGGACTGCTTTTTACTATCTCTGAATGTATTGTAGGCTCATTGAGGCTGTGCCTGCCTTGTACCCTATAGTATTCCTAGCACACAGTGTAATATATACCATATTATGAACAGGTGTTTACTCTAGGAACACACAGAAGAATTAAACAGTGCAGTCTGCTTGAGTTATTGAATTTGAACACACTGAGCAGTCCAGCTGGAGCAATGTGCATAGTGATAGCCATAGCTAAAACATCAAGGTACAAATTGGATAAAGCACTTGGCCCCAGCAAGGAATTGGACAGAGCAAGGATCTAGGTTACCGATTCTAGACTTAACCAAACTTCATTTAAACAACTATCCTAGATTTAACAAAACTGGGTGTTATTATAGTGAATATGTGTACTTGTAGGGTTCGAAGCTTGGCTCCCACTGCCAGTGCCACAGCATAGAATCCAATCCAGGTTATAGATCTATGCTGACTCTAATCCAGTCTCAGTCACCAGTTGTATCTAGGACTTATTAAATTTTTTTATTATATGTATGTATATATGTATATGTGGGTATGCGTGTGCCATAGTGTGCATATGGAGATTAGAGGACAACTTCTGGGAGTGATTTCTCTCCTTACACCCTGAGGGTCCTGGGGATTGAACTCAGGTAGCCAGTCTTGACAGCAAGGGCCTTTACCCACTGAGCCATCTCACTAACTTGCTAAGTCTAAGGGTCATTTTAAACTTTCCATTCTTCTTCTTTCTCATATGTGCATCATTTTCTATTGAAGAAAAATATTTAAACATAGTGTTAAACAGTTGAGAAGATGACTCATCAAACTTGCTTGCTTTTCACAGCTTTCCCTAACACCTACACATTTTTATTGTGATACACTTTCCCAAGTTTCTACTAGCACTGTAGTGCCCATCTTCATAACATTTGACTTATATAGTCTTTTCCCTTAAGGTAAATTCTCAAGGAGGGGTTTGCAGAGTTACAGGATGTAAACACTGTAAAGCTTGCTTTGAGGCTGTCTAGGCCTTTCTAAAGGGATTACTGGAAGTTGACCACAGTGTGAAAATACAAGATCTCTTAATGATGTTGAAGCATTGGAGAGAGTGAAAGGAAGGGAAAGAATGAGCTGTGTCTGTACAATTCTTTTTTCTTTCCATTGGCCTCATTTGTATGTGGTTTCACATAATTTTTTTTTATAAGTACAGAGAAGTTTGTATTAGTTGACTATATTTAAATGCAAATACTTTTTAAAGAGCAAATGAAAATTTGTACTGGTTGCAACTCCATATTAACTTGTAGAAACTTATTTATTATTTTTTGGTCTTTTTTGAGACAAGATTTCCCTGTAGCCACAGCTGGCCTGGATTCACTAATGGAGACCAGGTTGGCCTCAAACTCACAGAGATCCGCCTGCCTCTGCCTCCCGAGTGCTGGGACTAAAGGCATGTGCTACCACGCCCAGCGAAACTTATTTTTTAAATTAAAAAAAATTGTTTTACTATTTGTGTGTATGTTTGTGTATATTCATGTATGTGTACCATGACACTTGTACCATGACATGTGTGGTAGTCAGAGGACAACTTTAGGGAGTCAGTTCTCTCTTTTGTAGGTCCTGGGGATTGAACTCAGGTTGTCTGGCTTGCATGGCAAGTACTTTTACCCATCCTGGCCATGTAGGAATTTAAAATTTTACTTACAGTTGAATATTTAAGAGCTGGGCCATAAGCTGAATTATTTTACCACCTACTCGGATTGTTTTTAGAGCTGTGTATTTTGATGCTATGCCATTAACCGTTACTGCCAAAGGTCCCTTGTGAAGAAGTCCTTCCATGTCCCAGTGTCAAGAACTGGTTCATGTTTCCAGCACTTGTGGCTTGTTCATGTCTAATGAGAGGTGTCAGTGGTGTGTAGTTATTCCAATCATATAGGTCCCAGACACCACCTACCTCTTGTCTTCCCTGTGACATGGAGTTTGGGGTCAGACTTTGTCAGATACTCATTCCTTGGGAGGGAAAACATGTTAAGTATTTCAAAGCATTTCAGTATAAATATAGTACTAATGTTTGCTTTTATTTCATGTATACCCTTGCACTTTACTGGTTTAGAATTTTGTTCTACTAAGATGATAAGCAGTAGAGAACTACCTCATTGACCTCTAGGTGTTTATGCAGGTCATTTAAAAGCAGACTAGAGTTCAGAGCAGAAAGCACTATAGAATAAAATGTGGAGCCTTATATAAGTTTATATATATATATATATATATAATGTGTTTGTATGTATTTGGAGAGATACTAGTCAAAGTATTTAGCTTTTCTCCTAAGGAATAGAAGTATAGAATAAGAGACTTTGAATCTCTTACATAAAAGTACTTCCGTGTTGTTTGAATGCATACCATAATCATATTCTATTTCTTTTTTAAAAGCTGTTTTTTTTTTGTTTGTTTTTTTGTTTTGGTCTTTTTGAGACAGGATCTCCCTGTAGCCCCAGCTGTCCTGGAACTCACTATGTAGACCAGGCTGGCCTTGAACTCACAGAGATCCACCTGCCTCTGCCTCCTTAGTGCTGGGATTAAAGGCGTGCGCCACCACGCCTGGCATTTAAAAAAAAGCTAGTTTTTAAAAAATAGCAGAGGAGTTGGGGAGATGGCTCAGTGGTTAAAGCACTAGCCATGCAAATGTGAGGATCCCCAGAAACCCATGTAAATGTTGATCTGCCTGTAATTCTAGTCTTGGAAAGTGATCAAGCTGATTAGTAAGACTAGCCATATTGATGAGCTCTGGGTTTGATTGAGAGACCCTGCCCAGTGAAAAAGATGGAAGAATGAATGAAGATGATTCCCAGCATCAACCTCCATTTGCACGTGCATTGTCACAGAAGTGAGCCTACACACATGCAGCAAACAAACCATGCAAAACACACACACACACGAAAGAGGAAATAAAATGACAGGTCACTACCTCTGCTTATTTGACATAGGTAACAGTTTTGCTGTGGCTAACTCTCATAGAGCAACTCCTATTTCTGTGACCAAACCTGGATGAGGAATCTGTCAGTGAGTTGTTCCTGTTTTTAGGAAATTAAACTATATTGCTTGTTTTTTCTCCCCTTCTCTCTCAGGTCATTTGGATCCAGGATTCTTAGCGAGTGACAAAATTTCTTCTGGAAATGCGCCACTCAATGAAGAAATTAATATTGCCTCTTCAGATAGTGAAGTAGAGATTGTGGGTGTTCAAGAACATGCAAGGTAGGCTATTAATTGAGGTGTTTGGATATTTTAAATTGTGAATCTACTTTAAACATGAAAAATAAGTGATAAGAAAATGGGAAACCTCATGGCCTGGCTGGCATGAAAGGTGGGGATCTGTCTTGGAGCTTTTCTTGGCTTAGGAAATAATTTTTGTTGAGATGTGTGGTGGGAGGTTCCAAGTGTATTCCATGTTGTCTTATACCAAGACTGTCAGTCACACTGTGAGCTAGAGCTGATTTTTTTCCCCCTTTTAAGCAAATGTCTGGATAGCTTGACAGACTTTGCTCTTAAGAAAGAAGTGTCCTGTGCTTTCCTATCCTCTCATTCCTACCTTTTAATATATTGAGACCAAATAGTTGGGAAACATACATCTGATAAGATACCTTAGAATTTAAAATATCCTTGAAACAGCCAATTGGTATGCAGTGTTTAATGAACGTAATTTTTATGAATTTGGTGTCCTTTAAGGTAAGAGTCATCAAACTATAGTTAATAGGACACATCTGTCCTGCTACCTGCTTTTATATAAATTGGGAGCCAAGAACAGGTTTTAAATTTTTAAATATTTGAAGAGAAAATGATATTTTATAATGTAAAATTTTTAGGAAATTCAGTATTCACAGAATTGCTCTAATGGAGCCATGCTAGTCCATTTTGCACATCACATTTGGCTACTTTTGCTCTCCAGCCACAGTGTTGAGTAGTTTGGCAGATTGTATGGTCCCTAAGCATATAATAAATTACCTTCTTTACTTTGCTCTTTGCTTTGATTTTACTTTTTTATCAGTACACCAATAAAATATTTACCAGCATTTTATTTACTGCTTATATAAAGAGTGGCCTGAGGTGTATAAATAGGGGTGAAATGTAGATGTGTATGAATTGAGGGTACCTAATAAGATTTCATTGATCTTCTAAGGGCATTCTTTTAGCTAAACTAATGGAACTTTAAGAACGTAGCATTGGGGGGTTGGAGAGATGGCTCCGCAGTTAAGAACCTGGCTGGTCTTGCAAAGAATCTGGGTTTGGTTCTCAGCACCCATATGGCAGTTAACAACTGTCCTAACTCCAGTTCCAGGGGATCCAACACCCTCTTCTGACCTCCGTGGACACTGCATGACATGGGTGCACTTACAGGAAGGCAATACACTCATACACATAGAATAAAAATAATGAAAATAGCCAGATGTGGTGGTACACGCCTTTAATCCCAGCATGTGGGAGGCAGAGGCAGGTGAGTCTCTGTGAGTTCAAGGCCAGCCTTGTCTATATAGCAAGTTCTAGGCCAGCTAGGGCTACAGGGAGACCCTGTCTCAAAAAGACCCCCCAAAAAAGAAAAAATATAAAAGAGAATGTAGCGTTAACTCAGTGAGTAATACATCATTTTCCCAAGAGTAGCCAGTTCTTCTCGACGGAAATTAGTGTTGTCCTAGGACTTCACCAGCTATTCTGTACTTCTGCCAGAATTGGCTTGTGTCCTGCTTCCTCCCTTTCTGTCTTTATGCTTATTTTTCCTATTTTGGTGGAGAGGGGTTTTCACTTTCCAATCTTTCTCGTTTCATTTTCCCCTGACTCAATAAGAAACTTTTTCCTCATAAATTCTCTTTTTTCACTGTTTCTTTTTAAGCTGACTTACCAATCAGATGAGGAAGATAGGACAACTGATTTCCCTCCTTTACTTAAGCATGTTTTTGCAATTAGTTTATCTCTCACATTCTCACTAAGCCTCATGTTAGGATCATTCTGGAGTATTGAACTTTTAAAATTTCAGGCTTCCTGCTATGATGCTGTAGTAGCAGGTTGATGTGGTTAAATTATCTTCAGTTGCTTGTGCGAAGACATCCCTTGCTCCAGTTCTCTGTATTTCTGTCAAGTCTCCCTTTTTTACTATCTCCTTATGCCTCAAAATGTTACAGATACATTTTTGGGGGGGATATTTCTAAACATTTATTTGTTTGCTTGCTTGCTTGCTGAGTGTTTTGCATGCATATATGCAAGTGTACCTGTGTTGTGCAGTGCTCCTGGAGGCTGGGAGACGGAGTTGAATTCCCCAGAACTGGAGTTACGGACAGTTGTTAGCTGCCATGTGGGTGCTGGGAACCGAACCTGGGTCCTCTGGACAAGGAGCCAGTGCTCCTAACTGCTGAGCCATCTCTCCAGTACCCAGACACTCTTTTTCTAAACTTTGCTCAACTTTTCTTCCATCACGAAATTTTTTGGCTTTCTTTTTTTTTAAAGCCAATATTCTAGTGTCTAGAGGTAATTTTATTATTAAAAAATTAGACACTTAGTCTCCTTCTCTGCTTACCCCTAACACATATGTATATACATGCCATCTCTGATATATCCCTCTGAACTTAAATCCTCTCCAGATTGCTATCTTGTTCTGTTCTGTACATATTTATTTTGTGGTTTTTGTTTTTGTTTTTGTTTTTGTTTTTGTGACAGGGTGTCCTAGTTTGTTTCTCCATTGCTGTGACAAAACACTCTGACCACTACCAACTTGGAGAAGAAAGAGTTTATTTGTCTTACATCTCCCAAGTCACAGTTCATCAGGGAGCCCAAGGTAGAAAGTAGGGCAGGAACCTGGAGGCAGGAGCTGGAGCACAGGCTGTGGAGGAACTCCGCTTACTGGCTTGCTCCCCTGGCCCATGCTCAGCCTGCTTTCTTATGCAACACAAACCCACCTGCCCAGGGGTGGCATCACTCAAAGTGGTCTGGGCCCCCCCACATCACTCAACAATCAAGAAGATACCCCATGGACATGGCCACAGACCAGTTCAATGAAGGCAATTCCCCAGTTGAGGCTCCTGCAACCCAGGTGTACCAAGTTGACACTAAAGCTATCCAGCACACAGGGTCTCAATATGTAGCCCTTGTTGACCTGGAACTTGGTATGTAGACCAGGCTGACTTCAAACTCAGAGAGGTCCACTTGCCTCTGCTTCTGAAGTGCTGGAATTCAAGGCGTGTACCACCTTGCTTGGCTTGTGCCTCTCTTGAACCAAGTCACTTGACTTTGGCCACATTTTAAATAATATTACTTTCAAGACCTTGAAGAATAAAGCTGCATTTCAGTCTGATCCATTGGTTTGAATTTTGGGAAAATCATATCTTCTAGGTGACAAATCAGCTTTGAAACCTCAGTGGTGGTTAATGCTGTCCATACAGTAGAATATAGTGTTTATAGATTCTGTTGGAGATTTTAAACTAAATTCTGTATTGTTTTGAGGCTATCTTTTTTTTCATGTTTTATTATTTTTATTTTATGTGTATGTGTGTATTGCTTCCCTGTAGGCAAGTGCACCAGTGTCGTGCGATGCCCGCGGAAGACAGAAGAGGTTGTCTGTTCCCCTGGAACTGGAGTTATGGACAGTTGTTAGCTGCCATATGGGTGCTGGGATTTGAACCCGGGTCTTCTGCAAGAACAACTAGTGTTCTTAACCGTCGAACCATCTCTCCAGCCCCCAGAGGCTATCTTTTGTATTGGCTTTGCATCTAGGGCTAAATTAAGTAGAATCTCTCACAATTCCACTCTCAAAAATGATTTTCCCAGTAGTTTCTTCAGAAGTAGCCTGATAAGCTTTCACACACCGAGGTTGCTTCAGAATTCTCCTTCAGCTGCCTGCCTCTCACCTGGAATATATTTCCTTTGCAGGCTTTGGGTTACAGGGAGGAAGTATTGATATGCTTCTGGCAGGGTTAGACTCAGAAAAGGGTTTTAGGTTTTGACCTACATCTTTTTTGTTCTCATTTTGTTTGTATAGATGTTTTATTTGAATTTAGTTTTTTGTTTATGGATTTTTTGGGTTTTTT